AGCTATAGCAAGTATCATTCTAATGGAGTTTATTCTCGTCACGGGAGAATACGTGTCGAAGTAATCAAGGCCCTCGCGTTGCCTGTAACCCTTGATTACAAGCCTAGCCTTATACATCTCGATGGAACCATCGGTTTCATCTTCCTTTTAAAGACCCACTTGGATCCTAAGGGTTTACTACCCGGAGGAAGATCAACAAGTTCCCAAGTGTGATTCTGTAAAATAGAATCCACTTCACTTTTAATAGCCTCTTTCCACATTGGTCCTTCTGTAGAAGTCACGGCTTCTACGTATGTTTGAGGCTCGTTTTCTATCAAACAAGATAGAAAATCGGGTTCATTTTCTAATAAACAAGTTAGAATACTCGAATCGTACTCCAAAAAGTAAGTTAGAAAATCAGGACCAAATGATTTTCCAACTCTCACCCGCTTACTGCGTCTCGGCTCGAGCTCGGGTTCTCTCTCGGATTCCCCACTATCATTATCCATAGCTTTGTCAAACGTTCGTTTTGACGAACTCAGTCCCTCGTTGGACCTACAAGGAAATACATTTTCAAAGAAAGATGCATTCCTTGATTCTATTATCGTGTTCTCGTGTACGTCCGGATTATGGGACTCGTGTACTAAGAACCGATAAGCACTACTATTATGTGCATAGCCAATAAAGATATAGTCCACCGTCTTAGGACCTATCTTTACTTTCTTAGGTGTTGGCACAAAAACTTTGGCAAGACACCCCCACACTTTCAAGTACTGGTAGGAAGGTTTCCTACCGTTCCACAGCTCATAAGGAGTCTTGTTAAGCTTCTTGTGGGGTACCTTATTTAAAAGGTAATTACTTGTTAAAATAGCCTCACCCCACACATCTTGAGGTAGGCCCGAACTTATAAGCATCGCATTCATCATATCTTTCAATGTACGATTCTTTCGTTCGGCAACACCATTCAATTGAGGTGAGTAAGGTGCCGTACGCTCGTGTATTATACCTATACTGGAACAGAAGTCACCAATAGGTGCTTCGTAATCACCACCTCTATCGCTTCTAACTCTCTTAATCTTACGATTAAGTTGGTTTTCAATTTCATTCTTATAAAGAATGAATTTTTCCAAGGCTTCGTCTTTGCTTTTAAGCAAGTACACATAGCAATAACGTGTGCTATCATCGATAAATGTGATAAAATATTTATTACCACCTCTAGTTTGTATCGATCTAAAATCGCACAAATCACTATGGATTAATTCTAGTGGTTCAGTTTCCCTTTCAACCGATTTGAAAGGTATTTTCGTTAATTTTGCCTCAACACAAATTTCACATTTGTTATTTGTGTTAATTTGAAAATTAGGAATATGATCCATATTAATTAATCTGCGTACAGAATTCTAATTAACGTGACCTAGTCTACCATGCCACAAATTGGAAGACTCAAGCAAGTAAACGGAAGTAACTTTTCTCTTATTCATGATAATAGGCATTACATTGAGCTTAAAAAGCCCATCAGTTACATAACCTTTGCCTACAAACATTCCTAACTTAGACAAAACAACCTTGTCTGAGTCGAACACCATGCGAAAGCCATGCTTGTTCAACAGTGAGCCAGACACCAGATTCTTCCTCAGCTCTGGAACATACAGCACGTTGTTCAACATCAGTTCCTTCCCGGAAGTCATCTTCAGAACCACCTTGCCCACGCTTTCCACAACAGACTGAGCAGAGTTTCCCATCCACACCTTCTCGCCCTCAACGGTCTCAAAGGTATTGAACATCTCTCGGTTGCAACACAAATGCATTGTTGCACCAGTATCGATGAACCACTCTCGTGGGTTAGAGTCCACGAGGTTCACCTCGGTCACCATAGCCGAAAGGCTAATCTCGACCTCCTTCTGACTGCTTTCCTCAACCATGTTGGCTTCAGAACTCTTGTTCTTCTTCTTTGGAACTTTGCACTCAGAGGACTTGTGGCCAGACTTGCCACAATTGAAGCATTTTCCATGAAATTTCTTCTTGGTAATGCCTCCTTTCGGACATAGCTTTTGCTTGTCCTTCTTGTTCTTCTTGGAGCCTTTAGCATGCTCCACAACATTGGCTTTAGCGCCAACAGTGACAGAATTTCTGCCATCATTTGTCCTGTTCCCCTCCTCAATTCGGAGTCGCTGGATCAGGTCTTCCAGGTTCATTTCCTTTCGCTTATGCTTAAGGTAATTCTTGAAGTCCTTCCACCCTGGAGGCAGCAAGTGGATAACAGATTCCACTAGGAAGGCTTCACTCACGTCATGCCCTCGTCACGGATTTCATCAAAAATTAGTTGTAAATCTTCAACCTGACTTAGCACGGTTTTGGAATCAACCATTTTGAAGTCAAGGAATCGGCCAACCACAAATATCTTTGTGCCGGCATCCTCACTTCGGTATTTATGATCCAAGGTTTCCCACAGCGCTTTCGCTGTGCCAATCTTGCGATATACATCGTATAATGCATCACATAATCCATTTAGGATGTAGTTTCGGCATAGGAAGTTCGAATCCTTCCAATAGCCAACTGCCATCACTGATTGGGCATCCTGTTCCCTTAGTTCGGGAACCTTCTCGGTCAAGAATCTCGCCAAGCCGAGAGTTGCCAAGTAGAACAACATCTTTTGTTGCCACCTCTTGAAGTTCGATCCAATACCGGTGAACTTCTCCGGTCTTTCGGCCGAACCACTCGGTACCGAAGGTACCCGAGTCATGGAAATATATCCCTCAGTGCTCCCACCATCTTGTGAACCAACGTTCACTGGTGTAGCTTGGGAATTAGCAACATTGTTGCCATTCCCACCATTGTTGTTCTCAACAACATTCTCCTCCCCTGGATTAACGATAGGCACATCAAGGTTCTCCATTTCTTCTAGGAAATTAGAGATAAACAACCAACAGGAAACGAGAATAAGGTTTTAAGATTGTTGGGTAATATAGTTGAAAAATCCCAAAATAATAATTCTACAGAAAAATTATATTATTATATGGGAAAAATAGAAAACTGGGAAGGAAAAACTGGAGTGTTTGGGTATAGGTTTAGCACGAGTTCGAACACAAAGTTCTTTTCCTTAAAACCTTATTTGCTACCTCCCACAAGTGCTAGGAGCGTTGTAGCCTAGGTTTCCCAGGATAAAACGTGCTACGATTCCTTGTTTAAGCACCTAAACAAGGAACCCGGCAAACAAAGCAAGAGCAAGAACACTGCTGGGTAAAGAAGAGAGTAGAAGCAGAAGTTTTGAAGCAGAACTGTACTGAAATTCCTTAGTTTCGTGTACTGTGTAAAATGCTACTGCTCTACCTCTCTCTATATAGGGATGTTGGAGTGCTAGCATTCAACATGGTCATTAAATTGGTATTAAAACCAATTGTGTAACACCTGTAACAGCCACCCACTAAGTAGGATTAAACTCAGAATTTAAAATTGGAATTAAAATAGTATTAATTCCGTAACAGATGAGTTTAATCTGTACAACAAGCTGAACTTTCAGATTTCAGACCGTTGGGGTGCAGGTGCACACGAGAGCATAAGGACCAGCAACACGAGAGTACATCTCACGTGCGTGCTGTGGTGCAACCCGAGAGTGCACCTCTCGTGGTCACAGATGCACGAGAGTTGTGCTCTCGGTGCACCACAACCTCTCCTCTCGTGCTCTTTGTAGCACGAGAGTAGGTCCTCTCGGTTCGGTTTTGGCCGAACCAAGTGACTATATCAGATGGAAAATGATACCGAAGTTTGGCATAACTTAGCCCGCAAGGCCAGCCAATTTTCGGACGACATTCGTGCCCGCAGGTGCAGGTGCAGGTGCCGGCGCACGCGAGCTCGGGCTTGAATCAAGCCTTTTCGATCTCCTCTAGTTGGATTTTGATTTGCACCCCCCCCACCCCCGCATGAGAGAGCCTCTATGCTATATAGACCTGGCAATTCGTGTATACGGGTTCGCTAACGGGTCGACACGATAACGACACGAACACGATAAGGCTAAACACGAACACGAACACGTTAAGGTTAACGGGTTGAAATTCTTAACACGAACACGATTTGTAAACGGGTTAAATGGGTTGACACGATAGACACGTTTTGTTAATAGGTTTCGGGTCGTGTCGACACGATATGACACGAAACCCGTTTAAACCCACTAAACTTATTATATATAATAATTTGAAGTAAAGTTATATATATTAAAAAAAAAAAAAAAGGAAATAGAACCTTCAATTTCATCCATCAAACAACTAAAAAAAATATTCAACTCATTCATAAAACGATGAAATAATATCCAAAATCATAATTAAAGAAGTACATAATAATATTTTAGAATAAAATTAAACACAATAAAATTCAAATTGCATATTGTTGAACATCAACAATTAATGTAAGGTCTTAGCCTAATGTAATAAATTCATCCATAGTCGTATTCATGATATCTTCTGTAATCTCATTCAAGTCGGTTTGTCCTGAATCTACAAATTTTCAAAATATAATAACAATATAAGTCAATAAAAAAATTAAAAATAACTAATAATGAAATAAAGAAAAATAAACAATGATTCTATTTATAAACTTTATGTAAAAAAATGGCATTACCTAAATCCCCATACAACCAATCTTTTCAACCGACAATACCCTCTACAACTTCTGGTTTAAGTGAGCTTCGGTATTGGTCAAGGATTCTACCACCAACACTGAATGCAGACTCTGAAGCCACTGTAGATACTGGAATACTTAAGATATCTCGAGCCATGGCAGCAAGTTGAGGATACCGAAATTGATTTCCCTTCCAAAAATGCAAAATATTCAAGTCTACTTTTCTGTCAATTCTTTACTCATCTAAATATATCTCAAGCTCAGACTTGTTTTTCGAACTCCCAAATTCAGTGCATTCATAATTGTCAAATTCCTAGTTACATACACACAAAAAATACATATTAAAATAATTCCTTAAAAAATTGATATAAGAAAATTATTATATACATTACATTAAAAAAAAAAAATTACCTCAAAATCATCCTCATTATTCCGGTGCCAACTGAGTCATTGCCAAGATTCATATAATTTGATGAAACATGTCTAGGAGAAATCTTGTTAGCATATTCACGGTAGAGAGAAAATAAGCTCTCCTTAACTTTTTTAAACTCCATAGAATCATGTCCATAAAGCTTTTTGTAACTCCAATCAACAAAATGAATCTTGTAACGAGGATCCAATATCACAGCTATAGCTAAAATCAAGCTAAATGCAGACCAATACTTCTCAAATTTAGCAAACATTTGGATAGCCATATTTCTCATACCCAAATCATCCCCATTCTTTTGTTCTTCTAAAGTTAAGCGTGCCTTGAATATAGCAGGAAAATACAAGTTCGTTGTTGGATACTTGGTTCCAGAAAACACACAAGTAATCTCATAAAAAACTCCTAAGAACTTGCTAAGCTTCTCAATTCTATCCCACTCATCTTTAGATGGGCAATGCTTATAATTTGAATCACTAATTTCCAAGTGAGAAAAAGCCATCCGAAAGTAAAGTGCACTTTGAAGCATAAGATATGTAGAATTCCACCTAGTTGGAACATCTTGCCTTAAACCCCTTTTTGTATTCAAACTCACTAAACTCACACATTCAAGAAACTTTTGTTTTCTAACTTGAGAACCTTTCACATACTTAACGCTTTCCCTCACTTTTTTAACAGCAATATCAACTTCCTTCAACCCCTCTTGCACAATCAAATTAAGAATATGAGCATAACATCTAAGATGAAAGTATTTACCATCATCTAAAAGCACATTTCTTGCATTCAACTGCAGCTGAAAATAATCAACAAAAGTATCATTGGCAGAAGCATTATCCAATGTCACAGCAAACAACTTACTTTCAATTTTCCAATCAGCTAGTAATCCATATACCTTTTCACTTAATGCAATACCATTATGTGGAGGTGGCATATAAGAAAATTCAAGATTCTTTTTTGCAAAATCCAATTTCTATCAATAAAATGAGCAGTAAGACATATACCCATCAGTAGTGAGAGAAGTCCACAAGTCTGAAGTCAAACTAACCCTACCAGGTGTTTCATCAAGCATGAATTTTATCTTATTCTTTTCTCTTTGGTGCAATTTAACCATATCAGCTTTAGCAGTGTTCCTAGAAATAGTAGGCACATCATCCTTCAAGTAAGAGAAAACAGTTCGAAAACCACCATATTCCACAAAAGATAATGGCATATTATGCATAACAATTGCAGATATTAGTAACTCCCGGAACTTTTCTTCACTAAATTTGCTAGACCTCATTAACATAGATCCATTCTCACCACCGATAAGCATTTGACCTATGTCACGTGTGTTTTTCCTAACACAATTTGTAGTATGACGTTTTAGATGACCTGTCCCATACTTGCTGTCAGAATTGATTAGAACTTCACAATATTTGCACTTTGCTTTGATTACATTCTCACCATTTGTATTCTTGATAACCAAACGATCAAAATGATCACATACCTGTGATCTCAACTTCCTTTTGCGTTTCAGTGACTTTTGTGGATCTTTTTGTTCTTCAACTTCTACACAATCATCTGGATCTTCAATTTCAACATTCATATTAGTAATATCTTCAATTTCCATTTGTCCTAACCTGTGAAATATAGTATAAATTTATTAAAAGTAGCAGACAACAAGTAAAATTATTCTAAAACTCTCAATATATAAATCTATAATATATAATATATATATATATAATATAAATTTATAAACAACACAGTATAAAATTTCACATCTTCAATTCCATATAAAAAAAGAAAAGCACAGAAAAATATAAACAGTTTCATAAATTTATAACTTTACAATACAGTTCACATACATATAATATATATATATATATATATATATATATATATATATATATATATATATATATACAATAATATAGCTTACCGTATGAAATTAAACACAAAAAAATACAACTTTATATAATATAATATGTAAAAGTTTGCATACATATACAACTTACCGTAAGAAAGTTCGCATACATATAATATATACAATATAGCTTATACGACAGCTTTTTAATATTACGCACAAAGAAATAAACATACAAGATTGCAAGTATTACGAACTTATCGTAAGTGAAGATCAAAGTATTAGATTATTTGTTAAGCTTCAACCTTCAAGGGAGTATTTGGTGATTGAATGGTTGATTCTTGAAGCGTTTGACAATATCACGCCGTAGAAAATTAAGAATGAAAGCCTAAAGTCTGACACCATCTAAATTGAGTAAATTTCTTAATTCCACCGTGAAAGATTTGTTTATAGAATAAAACTAACAAAATAAGAATAGAACTTTCCATATTCCAAGTCTTAGTTTTCAATTTCCTTTTATATTAATTATATTAAATGAGTAAAATAATATTATAACAATGGTTCTTAGCGGGTTATAAACAGGTTAACACGATAACATTAACGGGGTAAACGGGTTGACCTGTTAAAACACGAATCATAACGAGTCAACTCATTAACGACTCGGGACACGTTAAGGCTAAACACTAACCCGTTATTTTCATGTCCAGTTTCGTGTCATGTTAACTGGTCGTGTCAATAATTGCCAGGTCTAATGCTATACAATTCTACAAGCTTCAAAAGAGCTCATGTATATAAGGGGGGCAAATCTTGTTTCAAAACCAATGTGGGACAAAGTCCACTATTTTCCCTTCATTTCCCAACTCAAATGGGTCTACTTTGAGAATCAATATCTCATTCACCCATTATCGGTTTTGAGCGTACAATATATCAATCTCTTCGTCTCACTATGAAGAACCCGAATCCACTTTGACCCGACCCAAATTGGAAGTGGACCCCACTGATAATTGTACCACAAAATAGCCACTTAATATGCCATTTTATGCCATTTTAAGCTAATTTTTCCAACACTTATGACTCTCTCTGCACTGTGGCCCTATTCTTTCTCTTGTCGGCCTTCTCTCGAGCCAGGGTTTATACCAACCTCATCAAAGGTGGGTCGGCCTACCAGAGCACTAGGGCCAACTGCCGCCTGCTGAACTTGACCAAGCAGCGCAAATTATGCCCTGGACACATGTTTACCATGAATGGTGAACACGGGTCCAAACGGTATCGTTTTTACGGGAAATTTTTTTTTTAGTTAATGTTTTGTTAACCGCGCGCGTTTGTTTAGATTATGAATTTTCTGTTATGAGATTATGAATGTACTGTAAATTCGTAATCTCATAACAGAAAATTCATAATCATATAAAAGAAAAACATTTTTTTAATTATGAATTTTCTGTTATGAGATTATGAATTTACAGTTATGTACTTATGAATTTTCTATAAATTCATAATCTCATAACAGAAAATTCATAATTTCATAACAGAAAATTCATAACCGCATACCAGAAAATTCATAATTTCATAACTGCACATTCATAAATCCATGCCTGCACATTCATAATTTATGAATGTTGAAGAAACTTGCGCGAAGAGGAAGTAAAACCGCGAAATGTGAAAATGAAGAAGAAAAGTCGCGCGGTTAATTAAGAAAAAAAAAAAAGATAACGTACACCGTTACCGTTGGGACCGTGTTCACCACCCATGGCATAACAATTGACCAAGCAGTGTCCCTCATCGCTGCTATGCCATCCGTACACCTAGGGGTGAGAACAGGTCAGGCCCCTTCGTAGGGGCCTAAGGCCCGGCCTATTTAAGGCCTACATAGGCCAGGCTTGTTTAGTAAAAAGGAGAGGCTTGAGCCTATTTTGAAGCCTATATATTAAATTAAACAGGACATGCCTATTTATACCAAGCTTGGCATTCAGGCCTATAAGCCTAACCTATTTACGCACATATATATAATTTATTTGTAATATTAAGTTAGTATATATTTTATTTTATACCTAATATATTTTTTTATTTACAATATAATTCCAAGTATATATAATTATCAAAGCCTAACCCTCCACCTCCAAAAACGCATTCTAAATTCTGATTCAACTATAAATATTGTTGTTAATCCTATTATAAGTATTCTTATTGTTAAATTGTTCTTACTTTTAAATATTTAATGAAGTGTCACGACTTAATTATGTGAGTTGATTGTTAACTATTTATGGGATTATGTAGGATGGCAATTAATAATACAATTGAATTCATTCCTAAACAAGTTAACAAGCATGTTGAAGTTGCAACTTGTTTTGTTTCATTTTATATATGTTTTAATACTATTATGTTTGCATTGTGGCGATATACTTATGTAGTTATATATTAATTTTGTATTAGCTAGGTATATTTCTTAAATTATTTAGAAATATTTATTAATGTTTTTAAAACGATTTAATATATAGGTTTTAAATACGCTCAAAGTAGAACTTACTTTGAAACCTTTTTAATAGCCTACATATTAAACAAGCTTATAAAAAGGCTTCATGCCAGACCAGGCTAATTGTAGGCTCAGGCTTGAGTCTAACAAAAAACCTACATACAGGCTCAGGCCCAGACCCAGGCTTTAGATTTTGGGACGTTATGCCATGGAACCGTGTTCACCATTCATGGTGAACACGGTTCCAACGGTGTTAGTACACCGTTATCTTTTTTTTTTTCTTAATTAATTGCGTGACTTTTCTTCTTTATTTTCACATTTTGCGGTTTCACTTTAATTTGAGGTGAACAAAGATTTCGGACATTCATAAAGTATGAATTCATGCCTGCACATTCACTTTGGAACCATGCCTACACATTCCCGTCCGAAATCACGGACATTCATAAATTATGAATCCATGCCTGCACATTCACTTTGGAACCATGAGATTATGAATTTTCTGTTATAAGATTATGAATTTTCTGTTATGAGATTATGAATTTTCAGTTATGAGATTATGAATTTTTTGTTATGCGATTATGAATTTTCTGTTATGAGATTATGAATTTTCATTACATTCATAATTTCGGACATTCATAAATTATGAATTCATGCCTGCTCATTCACTTTGGAACCATGCCTACATATTCCCGTCCGAAATCACGGACATTCATAAATTATAAATCCATGCCTGCACATTCAGTTTGGAACCATGCCTACACATTCACTTTGGAACCATGAGATTATGAATTTTCTGTTATAAGATTATGAATTTTCTGTTATGAGATTATGAATTTTCAGTTGTGAGATTATGAATTTTCTGTTATGCGATTATGAATTTTCTGTTATGAGATTATGAATTTTCATAAAATTCATAATCTCATAACAAAAAATTCATAATTTGATCAAACGCGCGCCGTTAACTCCACATCCGCGAAATTTTTTTTTTTGCCTAAAAACGACGTCGTTTTGCCTTGTGTTCACCATTCTCGGTGAACACGATTCCATGACATAATTTGCGTTAGATTTTCGTAACAGGCCTAGGCCTAATTTTCTAAAACTCGGCTCGGCTCGGCCTATTTCCACCCCTACATACACCTATCCTGTTAGCCAACTCTTAGGCCAATGGTTGGACGCTAGCTTGGCCCTCGAGGGGCCCAGGTTAGCTCCTATTGTTGGGGAATCCCCTAAGATGTTGAGGGTGCCCGTTAATCTCCTCATCTCTTTTAGTTGTGATACCGACTCCTAGGGGTAGAAAACCCCTTTCCCCTGTCAGTAGATTGTTGGCTTCTAGATCCGACCATACTAATATATTGCGTAACTGGATTCAGAAAAAATGATTTGAAATTGGTAGATTTTAAGAAAACATACTTTTCGTATCAGTATTTATAGAAGGAGCCAACGGTCGTTTTTAATAGATGTGACTAACTATAAATTGTGGTTAATATGAAAAAATATGGATGAAAAAAGATTAGTATTATATTCACCATTCAAGCCCATGACCCCTTGAAATAATGTAACTAGCTAGGCTACAGCTAATCAATTATAGAAAGGAAATAAATTCATGTCCAAGTAGTCCAAGTATCTAACCAACGGATTAATTGATCTACTTGAAAACTAGTTGGAAAGTGCCAACCATTAATTATATAAGTTAGACCAACAAGTGCTAACGACATACTAGGTGGAGAAGTCAAAGTAAAGGTGATGATATTTGAAATGGACGGACTCCGATCCCTTTATAATTTACACAATGCACTTTTAGGGTCACAAATTTTAAATATACTTTTACATATTATCATTATATGCACTTTGTAATTTTGCATAATACACATTTACTACATATTTGTCCAAAAAATCTGTTTTCAAAAGACCCTATGTATAAGTAATGTTTTTTTAATTGACAAAATTAACGATGAACGGGCTTAATTATCTATATGAATACCGACAGAAAAGGTAGGTGGTATGTGTTTCGATGAAATTATTGATATATATTTTTTTTTATTTGAGAAATTTATTTGTTTCTTAAATAATTGTTTCGAAAGGTTATTATCCACATTTATTAATCGATTTGATTATTTTTGTTGGGATTTGGGAATTAGTGCAACTTACAAACATGAATTGAAAGTTAGCAATATAATATGGAATATTTTTCAAATAGTGCAACCGACTAACATGAATGGAAAGTTAGTAATATAATATGGAGTATTTTTCAAACCATCTAACAGGTTAATAATATGGCACGGAGTATTTATCCAAT